TTCTATTAAACTGGAAGATGCTTGTATCTCTTCCTTTAACTTCTTTTTAAGTTCCTCAAGTTGTTTATAAGTATCTATAGTATGATAATGATTGCAGTACCATATAGTGGGTTTGTTTCGTGAGGCTAAACTTCGGCGTTCTTTTCGTTCTTCAAGATGGGAGAACGAATAATTAACCAAACGAAATTCCAGTTTTAATGAGCGTGGTAGCTTATTAACGTCTTCAGAACAAATGTTTAACCTCACGAAAGTCATTTTGAGGATGGAAAACGAAAGTTTACCCCCACGAAACAAACCCGCTATACGGTATCAATCAATAATAATTATTAATAATAACCTGATCTTAATTCTTCATATTGTTCTGTCTTGTGTTTCAAGTCTCCAGTAACTTCCTCCTGTTGTTCAGTAAGTGTTGCTATTCTCTCTTCATTTTGAATGAGGACCATTTTCTGTTGAAGTATCTCTTCTTCATATTTCTTTATAAAAAATTGTTTCTCTTTTTCATGGAGTTCCTTTTCTTCCTCCAGTTGCTTTTGAATACTTTCAACTTTGTCCTGTAGTAACATAACCTGATTCTCATCCTTTTTGTCTTCCTCCTCCTCCTGGTAAGAATGACTCACTGATTCTGTTGTTCCTATACTCAATAGTATTATGTATCATATTAATAATATTGATGTACCTGCTGGTACTTCAGTTGCTAGTGTGGTATCTTTACTTTGTATAGTAGGGCCCACATAAATATCAGTGAGTTCCCAAACTTCCCACATACATTTACCACCATCATCTCTAATCACTTTTAACTTTATATGACAGGGTAATACGGCTGATGATAGTTTCTCGACATCTTTAAGTACTGAATAGCTAGTATCTTTATCAACGACAATCGCAACAGACTCAAGTAGCGATGATGCTTTTAAAAGCTCTTCTTCCAAAAATTGACAAAGCTTCATTTTTAACTTCTCAACAGCTTCTTTATACTCTTTAATAAGTACCTTAGCCTCCTTTATATTGAACTCATTAACAAAATTCTCCAACACACTTATGTCATCAAGTGAAACTGTTATTACGTAATAATTGTAATATGTCACGGATATCTTGACACTGAGCTAATTGAGGCTTTAATGCTTTGTTAATTATACCCAGTACATATTTGATATTATGAAGGGATGAAGACAGAGGGTTGCTCTTCATTATTGACTCCACTTGTAAGAATGTATTCGTCAATTTTATTCGCATCATCATAAACTCTGAAGTGACACTCACAGAAAGATAAATCCTCAGTGCTTTAGCTAAATAATTAATGTGTTAGATGTAAATGTTAAGTTAATACATACATTAACTCTTACCATTCTCATCATCACTTTCATAAACTATTCCTATACAACAATCATTAGTTAATAGTATATGTTATACCGTACAAGATGATTTATTGGCAAGAGTAATATTTAGCGAATTTGCCTCTAGAAACTGCCAATCGCTAATATCAATTCCTTGCCAATAAAATATCTTGTACAGTAATACAATTACTTACTGTAGTCTCTCATGATGGCAAATCCTATCTCGGCAATGGCTGGTATGTACATGTATTTGCATAAAATGTCAGCAAATGTCTTAAGTTTTTTATAATCAGCACAAACAGCTTCCTTTATGTCACCCAGTAGTCCTTCTCCTTGTCTATGTGGGAGGATTGACTCTTTTATTAGTTCTGCTTCATACAGATCTAAATACAACAGAGGTAATGCAGACAGTAGAGATTGGTCTGAGGAATGACGAGCAAGGATTCTACAAGCAGGATGCTCTAAACAATAAATAAATAAATGAAATACTAATTGTTTATTAAACTTACTCTCCCTATCTATTCCATCAGCTACTCCATTCTCTCCTAATTCCCTCAATGCTAATATCAATGAATAGATAGTTGGACCACCTTTAGTGTACTCTACATTATCACTGAGCTTTCACTAACCATTTAGTAAGACACTCACGTAGACAGCTCTCAGTATCTCCTTTATCATTCAATGTGATGACATCCAGTGTAGTAGGAGAGAGTCCAAGAAACAGGCCGAGATCAGAGTAATTGATTTGGCCTAAATGGTGACGTTTGAGTAAATCAAGTACCTCAGGTAGATCAGTAACTATAATGATAAATATTTTTTTTTAATAAAAGAAATAAACAAATATAGATCTATACTTTTCAGTTGATTTGGCGGTACAGAAGAAGAGAAAAGAGAAGTAAACTTGGAAGTCATTGTTAAACTGCCTCAGTAACTACCAAGAGATACCCGTAACCCGTTAGAGATTACAAGGCAAACCATAGGCATAATCTATGGGCAAACAGATAACAGTGTAAACATTGATCACGTGATCAAAGCCACACCCACTAGCAATTAAAAATGCCAGTTCAGCAATAAAAATCCCGAGGCCGCCCATTGCAGGGAATCTGGCCCAGTATGAGTCTCTGCTATCAGACTGAAGTCCCATTGTACCATAGTGTCGGGGCATCTTCCTAAATTTTTAAACTTATGTACAAACACAAAAGTACACACACAACACATAAAGTAAAAAGTCCATATAAAAAATTAAAACATACAATGTCATTGCTCCAGTAATCATTATCTTGTTCATCTATCTACTAATGTATGGGATAAGGTAAATTATTGTGATGACTGATAACTTACATGAAGCAGCAATCCTGTCAGCTAATGTAGAAAGAACAACATGATCCTGTTCCCTCAGTATAAACAAGAATGTACTAATGTGATCAGGACAAAATTCAATTGTATTTGTAATTTTCTGAACAAAAAGTCCCACTCTTTCAGATAAAGACTGGCGATTCATCCCATCAAATAACTCATTATACTGAGAAGAATTAATAATTTTTATGTCCTTACAACCATTAGCTATGTCACGAAACATTGATAATTCTGAAGTTGAAAGGAAACGTTTCAGATCATTAAGGTGCTTCTTGAGGTCATTATGTGAACCAGGATTAGGAACATCTTTAGTACCAACAGAATGAGGTGCATCTACATGTACATGTATACATCATCAACTATTATTGATGTAATATCAAAAAATACATACCTAGTAAATTTCTCAGTGATCTATTAATAAAAATCTTCATTTGTTCTTGCACACCTTTCAATGGTACAGAATAACTCAAGTTAGGTACAGTATGGGGACTATTCTCAGCATATATTGATACTAAACAAAATGGAGGGACTGTAGTACTATTGTCACCGAAACGAAGAATTTCATGTTCCCTGATCTATTGTATAAAAATGCTATACTACTGTTGTCTAGCTAATAAAATAAATTACCTGACATGGATCCAAATGTGGTTTAATTCTCCATCCAGTTGTTGGTTCAGTTTGCTCCTCATCAAATTTTAATTTAATGCATCGTTTTGGTGATGCGAGTTTAAAACTAATACTTTGATCCATTTCTGGATGAGAATATTTTTTTTCAATATACTACAAAACAAGTAATTGGAAAAAAAACAAAAATAATGAAATTTGAAATACCCGAAGTAATGCATTCAGGTCTCTAGCAGCAGTGAATCTCATTAAATCTCTTCTCTCTTCTCTTTGATAAAACACTTGTCCAGCATACACTGTAGCTTCAGGTATACCAGTGGAATGAGTAGATACAACTATAAATAAAAAACAATACTTTTTAGAAGTAATATGATACTGTATAGCCGCAAAGTTTCGAGGCAATAAACTTTCGCGAATCAGGCCGCAAGTCTTTTTTTGCAAATTAACTTTCGCGGTTCTTGTTTTAAAGCACATGTGTTTATGGGCAATACGGATAATTTTACGGAATTAACTTTCGCGAATACGGAAAATCAGCGAAAACAGCAAAAGTTGTAACCTCGAAATTAAGCGGCTATATACGGTAAATCACATACCAATTGTAGACTGAGAGCTTAATTCAACTGATTCTGTACCAACAGCAACTTGTGACAGCTCCTCAATATGCTGTTCACTTTCTTTCACCAGTAACAATTTTTGTCCTTCTCTTCCTCCATTGTCATGCTCTTCTTTCTCCTGCTTATTCTTTTCTTCTTGCTTCAGTTGACCCTCAACTTGTTTGTCTTCTTCTTTTTGCTGCTGATGCTCAACCTCTACTCCTCCACTTGCTCCTCCTTCTTGTCCTCCTGCTCCTTGTCCCTCTCCTCCTGTTGTCTCTCCCTTTCCTTTCCCTCCCTCATCTCCTGACTCTCCATCTTCCTCTCCATTCCTCTCCTCATTCCTACCTCCTCCATTTCCCTCTTCTTCCTCCCCAACAATAGCTAATTGACAGAACTTGCTTCGTTCAATCCATCCATATCTCTGGTATGCTGGAAACTCCCCTCCTTCAATTAGTGAGAACTGGTAAGGAAGACTAGCTGTGTGAACTGGAGCAACAGCAAATTTAAGATACTTGGATAAAGAAGGATCACTGAGATCGATACAGTGTTGCATTTCTATCCTCAGTGACTTGAGGAGTGGACTGGTTGATATTGCATACACTGCACTCACTAGTCTAGTATTATCAGGAAACCTATAAAGGAATTAATAATTAAAATACATGTACATGAATATAGGGTATAATGGGTGCTTTTTGTTGGGTAAAATTTTTGTTATTACATTAAAAAATTAAAATTTGGCATAAAAATTTTTGTCAATCATTATTTTATTGTTCTTGTTATAGAACAAAATACATAAGACATTAATATTTTCTTATAAAGACTAAATTATCAATTGTTTTCCCTCACAATAATTCCCCACTAACTATACAGACATAACTACATGTACAGTATATGTACTTGAAGTGTCCTCCTACAAGAGCTAGTACTGATACTTCTACAGTCTCTGATGCTGATAGACTATCCTCTGCTACACTAATCCTCAGTCCATACTCCTCCCAGTTCATCAGTTGAGGTTTGTCTCCTTGAACTAAGAACAACTTCTTCCCTGCTATTTGGGACTCATTCAGACCTTCCAAATTATCTGTAGGAAAGTATAACAACTGAAATTATGTATTGTTAAAATGTGTATGTAATTATGGACAAAGATGATACAATGAACCATAATTCATGTAAAGCTACACTGAATGACAATGTACAGTACATGAAGCAACTTTAAAAAGGCATAAAAAATCTAATTTTGATCAGAATCAATTCAAACTTTCTACGCAACATAAGTACATGTACATGTATATGTATAAAAAATGTAATAAAAGTTGAGAAGTATTCCTTTTACAATTTTAGCAAAATTTGGCTCAAGACCATGTACTACAGTACAAGGACTTTCGTCCAATTTAAAAATTCTTTAAAAATCCAATTTTAATCGGAATCAGCTCAAACTTTCTACATATACTTGTAGCATACAAATATGGATTTGCATTAGGAAAAACTATTTAAAGAATCCCCACTTTTTAATTTTGGTAAAATTTGGCCAGAGACCCTAGACCCTGTACAGGGACTTTCGTTTGATTTCGAAGTAATTCTAAAAAATCTGTAAAAAATTCATTTTTGATTGAAATCAGCTCAAACTTTCTACACAACATAAGAACATGTATATGTATAAGGAAAATTTTAAAAATGAACAATTGTCTACTTTTCAATTTTGGGGAAATTGGGATGAAGACACTGTACTATAGTACAGGGAATTTCATTCGATTTTGGAGCAACTTTTAAAATTCATAAAAAATCCAATTTTTGTTGGAATCAGTTCAAACTTTTACACCACATAAGTACGTGTATGGGCATCAGAAAATGAAATAAAAATTGTCACCTAAACAACAACAACAACAACAATAACAATAATAATAATAATAATAATGAACAACAATGGTTAGTATAACAAGTAATGAAATTTTGGCAGTGATTTGAGGTCACTTGCCAATATATCTTGATATGTCAAATCAAAGCCAAAAATTCCTACTCCAAATATGGTAAACACTGCAAACATACATCTACTCAACTTGGAATATACCATATTTTGGTGATTGGTGGTTTGCAAGCGGAATCCACAATATTAAAACCGCCAATCATTAATGCGCATGCTCAGTAATGCACATGTACAGAAAAATCGCCAAATTAAAAACCGCTGATTACAATTTTATAGCAAAATTGCCAAAATAAAGTGCCGCCATAATAAAGCGCCAAACAGTATAGATACATGTACATGAGTCCAATTATGATGTACATGTACATGTATAGCCACAAATTCCACCCACCAATCACTACAAATTCCTACACTCCAAATATGGTAGCTATGGTAGCTATACTAATATCAACTAGTGTACTCCTCCTCATACAATAATTCATGTGGTCTATCAGTAGATACAGTTCAGAGTACTGGACTAACCTTTACTGATATAAGTACATGTATGTACAGTCTCAGTCTCTTGTAATATCTCAGTCTCTTCTTTCTGTTCTACTGGTACTATACAATACAATTTATTAATAATTATTAATAATAAGTATACCATTATGATCTTTAATTAATGACATTAATCTTTCATTCTCCAGTATCAATGCTTTCCTTTGTTCTAATTATAAGAAGAGGTCATTAACTAGTAATTAATAATGTGTGTGGGTGTGTACATACTTTGAAATGTTGCACTTTCATTTTTAATCTTTTGTATTTCACTCTGTAATTCTATATAATAAATATATAAGAGAAGTATTCAAACATGACTAAAAATATAACATGCACAATGTACATACACATGACACACAAAACTGAAGTACATGTACAGTATCAAATTATCAATCAATACTTTATAATCATTAATCAATAATAATATGCTAATATAATATATAATTAAGGTTAATATAATAATATACATGGTAGAAGTACATGTACATGTGTCTGTCACACACACACACACACACACACACACACACACACTCACATACCTGACTGGGTGATAGTGTAAGTCATACTGACCTGATACTTCCTTGTGATCTTTGACTTGCTGTAGTTCTAGTTCTTGTTGAAGATCATCAATCTT